ATGAAAAACCTTAACACCATCCAAAAAAAACTCAAATTCCATTGTTCCGTTTGCCAAGCTACTTGACAGTTGCTAATAATCAGAACCAATTGCTTAACTAATTCAGACACTAAATGCTTAAACAATTGCCCCCAAAAATGAGAAAGTTTACTAATTACTTACTGTCAAGAAAGACAAATCATTTACTTTGTCAGTCAAGAACAACAAAAAGATGAAAAACACCAAGATTTAGCCAATTGATTAAACAAAATAAGAAAACAAAACCAAAAGTAAGATGAATAAACTAAAAGCAATCACCCATCAAGAATTACTAAATGAACTTTGTCGAAGAATAAGGGAGCAAGAAATCAGCGAAGATGAATTAACCTGAATTTTAACAAAAATTATTGCCGAAAAAGAAATAAAAAACTATGCCAAAAAGCAAAAAACTAGCAAAGAAAATAGAAAGTAAATTAGAAAAATTAAGCCAACTATTAAACAAAATTAACGAAGCCCAAGTCATTAACTCGGATGACCCCGAAACCTGAGATCCTGATACTCTTTATAAATTAGTGGAAAACTTAAAGGATACTTTGAAATTACTGGAAGACCAAAAAGGAAAGCAATTGGACGAGTTTGGCGAACCTATTATTGTAGAAGAAGGAATTTGCTCTTTGGTGGATGAGTATAAATCCGAAAAAGAGGAAGCATAAAATCATGGTAGCCTGAACTATATTAATCACGGAGAATATTTTACTCCTTCTCTTCTTGCTTGTCTGACTAAACCGACACTGTCAAAAATGCCACCAAGTCAAATGTATTGAACGAATGCTAAATAAACTCTGCCAAAAGTGTCAAAACGATCAAGAAAAGAAAAAAGCCACTTCTTCCCGTAAAAAATCAACTACTGCCTTATAAATCATGAACTGAACTACTTATTGAACTAATAAAAAAGCCCAATGGCCAGAAAAAGCCATTATTATGACTATTAACCATCATATTAGCCAATATACGGAATATTTACAGGATAAGAATTTATCTCCGAACACCATCAGACTATATTTGAATATTCTCGATAAATTCCCCCAGGAGTTTAGCACCGAAAGTCTAAAAACATACTTCCGCACTAACCTGAAAAAGTATGAGGCCACCAGCCTCAAAGTCCAACAATGAGCCCTCAATTCTTATATCAAGTTTAAGAAATTACAAGTCGAGTGAGAAAGAATTGCTCGTCTTATTCCTAAAACTCAAAGGAAATTTTTTGATACGATTAGCGAAGGGGAATTAGAATTGTTAAAAGAAACCCAAGTGGAAAAAAATCCTAAAATTCATGAACGCAATAACCTAATCTTAGAGTTCTTATTTTATTCAGGATTAAGAATTAATGAGCTCATTAACATTAAACATTCAGATTGACAAAGCAACCAGTTGAAAATCCACGGCAAAGGAAATAAAGTGTGGTTTGTCCTCTTACCTGACTTTTTAATTACCCATTTTAACCCTCCTTCTCCTGATTACTTATTTGTTAACCAAAGAGGCAACCAAATTAAAGCGGAGTATATTCGCTGATTACTGAATACTAGAACTGAAAAAGCAGGAATTAGCAAGCGAATAACCCCGCACACTTTCCGTCGCTCCTTTGCCACTTGACTTTACCGCAACGGGGCTCAATTACTTACTATCCAACAATTACTAGGTCACAGCAGTGTCCAAACTACCGAGAAATACATTCAGTATGACCGAGCCACGGTTTATGCAGATTATAGTAAGTTGTGAAA